CTATATGATGGTTTCTATAGGTCTGTGAAGAAGACGACTTTCGTACCTCAAAAACGCCATTTGTGAAAAGTTTACTTTTTAACCAAAACTAATTGAAAATGTTCGATCTCAATATCGGTCAACTGCGCATTTTCTTGCGAATGTTTAGTGTATAACTTGTCTCAATTTGCTGCAATATAGGGCTGTTGTGGGAATGTGGGAACAAAGTCGTTTGGTCCTCATGCACGAATGGCGCGTAAGGGCAAATGCTAGTGAAGCGTTGCGTATGATTAGTGTAGCCCCATATGGACGGCTCGAGAGCACCTAATCCTCCAGATTCCTGCAGACTGCTTTCTGCAAAATTTTGCGATCCACTTTCAAACCGTACTTTCTGCAACCATATCATCGTCTTAGCTGCCTTGATCATGCATGCTTCAAAATTCTGTTACATGATAACGCTCGACGTCATGTTACAATGTTGATCGGAAACGTCGTAATAGAGCTGAGATGGGAGGTTTCAGGTTTTACGTTATATACCTTACTCTCTCGACATTACACCCAGATTACCACTTGAATTTACCAACTTTTGATTACAAATTGATAAACTAAAAATGGCGTTTTTCGGGTACAAAAGTCTTCATCTTTAAAGTGCTTCGATGCGCAAAATAATGAAGAACCCCGAAATCTGCGGGCAACGGGCCTGAAGCAGTGTCAAAAATAATGTAAAGCTGTGCAGTTGCAAGAGCAGTAGTGCGCACTTTTTGAATCAGAGACATGGAAAAAAAACGGTTTGAAAAGGCTGGCCAAATGATTGGTTTGATAGCTGTTACCCGTTTGTCGAAGGTGCTCCTTTTAGACGAAAGGATAGTCACGGTCGAACCACTCCCTCGCAAGGATCGACGTCAACTTCTTAGGATAGGTTAGCGGATGTTCGCAGCAGCGAAAACCATAAGCCATAGCCATTTTCCGGCCTCTTTGTGGGCTTGATCGGTGTTTGGGCCACCGCTAAGACGCCGTTGACTACATCAACAAAAACGTCAAAATCAACACTGCGAAAAAGTTAGCAGACCGTTCTAAGCCTTGGAGTGCTCGAAATTTTGGCACCGACGACTTCAAACATCAGCAGGACTGAGTTCCTGCGCATTCGGCCTGCCCAACGATTTACATCTGTCATGAACTGATTCCTGGCCTTTGAGGTAAGGATATTTGGCTGTCAAACTCGCCACTTCTTAACCCGATGGGATATTTCGCGTGGTTCATACTGGAGGAAAAAGTCTCCGCCACTCGCTACATTAGTCCTTTTCCGACCACCCATTCACAGCTCGGTCGGCCAATGCGTATAAATCAGCATTTGGCGTCTCATAAGAGTGTTAGGAATCATCCAAAATCTTAAATCCCTAGCTACGGCTCCCACGTAGCCGACTCTCCAAAACATCCTTTTATGACGCTGTATAATCCAAAATAAAAATGTGTCTCACAAACTACGTGTTTTTTTTTATCTCGCTTATATTTCGCTGAACAAAACTCCTTCGTTGAAGTGCTAATACTCATTCGATAGCACAAATTCAAGGAACTCGAAAATATGTTTTCTTTATGAAAAAGCTCTTTCGATAACGCTGCAGAAGAAAGACAGTATTTGCGCATTACATCTCCTCGAACAGAGCTCTTTTTTTCGAATGGTAGTAATCATTCGAAGGCATATTTGCTGCATTCAACGCTGTGCTTATTTTCTGAATAGATCGTTTCTGTGCAGTGCAGCAGGGAGATATGCCACCATCCAAAGCACGAATTGATCATTAGCCGCGTGAAAACGGCCGCATACGCCCTCTTCCCACCCCACAACCCCATGGATTGGTCAAAAAACACCTTGTCGCATATGTGGATCAATCTTATTTATTCTGTTGCACTGCAGAGAAACGATCTTTGCAGAAAATAAGCACAGCGTTGGAATCAGGACCGACGAAAAATATGCATGTCTGCGAAGCAAGAAATCCCCTTCTGTAGCAACGTCAAGAAAACCGTTTTTTCAAAACCGGCGAGGTGGGGCTGTAGCCTGAAATCTTAGCTTTCGAATGGTTCCTATAAACACCTATGAAAAGTTTCTTTCCAGCGAACGAGGTCAATTTTTCCTTCGTCTCCTTATAATCAGAAAGAATCTTTCGAGTTTAGACGTTTATGTCCTGCCGTATAATTATTCTATTAATAATTCATAGATGCACCAAAAATTCGTTAAAGAACTGATTCAGGTATCGAGTGAGTTATATAGAAGATTCAGCGTTAGATTGCTTACATGGGAAAGGTCAGAGGTGTATTGTCACACGTTCTGAATAGTGAAGCTTACTCAAACAGTACCATAATTCTAACATAAGGTGCCATCTATTTGTTCGGCGAACTATAAGCCGTATTTGAGCCTTCAAAGAAATGGTATCGCTCAACTAAAAACTCAAGTGTTCGCCCACACCTATATCATCCAACACATCTCTCAGCGCTCTGTTGCGCAGTTAAAATGTAGACTGACACATCAACCACGTCAAAAATTTCCACCCCACTCACATGACACTCGAACGGTCTTATGAAATTTAATGGTCAGTCATAAAGTCTATCCATGTTACACAGATCAGAGCTTCGACACTTGTCCCATCTTTAGCGTCCTTGTATATCGATAGCGAAACGTAGATGGGCCGGTCATAATAAAAAAATGATGGAGCATGAACGAAAAGAACTAAAATATGAGCATCACAAGGACACAAGGTTTTCTTTAAAACGACAACCGACACGCACGAACGGGTTTGTGACTAAGGTCAACGGGTCGTACTCACGGCTGGAGTTATTTTGGATCGCGATGTGATACACCCACTATTCAACGCACTCTAATCGAACCATCATCATGGACGGCGATCGCAGGGCAATTGAACGGATGGAAAATTTGTTGAAGACCGTGCAGCTCGTTAAAATGGCCCGTCAAATAATTCACGTGAGGAGGCAATGGAATATAGATTGAATATTTTGATTATAGATAATGATATAAATATGATGCACATAACCATGATGCTCCGCCTTGCAAACGGTGAACTCAAATCATTGCGATTCTAAAAAAGTCACGCTACCGAAACTTCGGCTTTAGTGGAGATTTATGACAAGCACATGTAATCTTAGCAATAAAATATAAAGCAATAATGTTCGAAGATCTTTGTGGACAATGAATGCGAGAAAACTAACCTAGTACAAGAAGAGCTGGTATGACACAGAAAATTGTGATAACACGTCGTTTGAGAAGAAATAATTCTTTTTTTTCCGAAACCCACCTCAGGTCCGCCCGTATACTCTATCGTAGACAAAACTGCTGACATTACTCCACAAATTTGGTCTCCATTCGTCGTATGGGGCCAATACATCCAATTTTTGTTCAAGCCATACATTATTCAAAATTCAAAAGGAGTCTGCGTGTTCACAGCAGTAGCGTTCAGGAGAACAAAAACTGAAATAATTGTAAGCTCACTTCATCAACAACACTTTCCCCACCGATCACGAAGAAGCATCTCGCCTGAAGAACAGTGTGGAAGAGATACCGTACCTTCGACCGTTACATAGACTTCGCTCCAGACAATGATAATGCGATAAGACGACAACACGTTTGAGCCTGTTATGAGGTCGAATAAAGGCACTTATGTTTGGTGCTGGACAGACGCCTGCTTCGTCGTAACGGCGGCGCTAGTGGGATCGCAGACGTAGGCAGCACGACATTCTTGCACACAGACGCACAAGCCGCCTTCATGGACTGCCGCACAAGCGACGGCGCGACGCCGCCTCCCTATCAACGCTGGTCTTCAGGGGGTTATTAGGATAGAGCTCTCGGCGTTGATCAATCCTGAGGTATGCGCCATGCATTCTTCTTCAATTTTTTAAATCGTTTGAGGTGACTTGATGCATATCTGGCCTTTACAATGACTAGCCGAACCTCCCGCTGTATCCTCCCATACAGGTCTGGGACCAGCCCAGACCGACCAATTTACCGTCGACTGCGGGAGGGACGAGGGAGAATGGCTTCGTGAGCTATCCATGAGCGCGAGATCGAACCATCGACCTTGCGCGACGCAGAGCACCTTTAACCGCTGCGCCACATGCGCTCTCATCCCTCATTCTGATGTAATAAAGAGGTTTCTACTTATGGGGTGTGATTGCTCAGTCGGATTGCCCAGGAGAATTCTTTCCGGAGTAAAGAGAGCAACAGAAGCAGAAAAAGCTACTCACTTCCTGTTGACGACGTATAATCACAGTTTTATTCTGCGCATACCACTACTTCTAGCATTCGATTCGTTTTTCGTCTTCTTCTTGAATGACGTAGAACAGTGTTTGGGCATGTCTCTTGCAATCTCGAGGATAGCCTGGCTGTGGCTTTCCATAGGGCGTTCTTGTTGACTGCCGGAGAGTGCGGGGGTGGCTGTGGAGCCAACTCCATGCGCGGCGCTCCGAGCATCACAACCATTCGGCTACGGAGCTCCTTCTTGTGTGATTACGACCAAAAACCAGTCATGCCGTCATTATTCGCGAGAGGTCTTCCTTTTTGTTTGCCTAGAGGTTTGCAGGTAAATCGGTTTGGACAAATGATTATTATTTTACTATTGATACTTCATTATGATCTAATAATGCAACTATCGTAGCCTATGACGTTCGTTTCGTCCCTGGAAGGGTGAGACGCGGGTTCGATCTCGCCCGAGGTTTGAAGTTCCGCACATCACTGGAAATTCTTGGTTATAAAGAACGATCGTGTTCATTCTCTTTCTTTTTCCTATTTTTAGTTATCTTTTAGACTTCTTTCCATTTTTCCTGAGTTTTTCATTTATTGTTTCAGTTGTTTATGTTGTCAGAATTCTTTTTATTTGACCGCCTTCAGCGGTGCTAAGATGTTACAATATACCCAATAATAAATAGTGACGTGCAAGAGCATTTGCGTCAGTTGAGATTCGAACCAACGTCTCACCTTATCCGAGCGTACTTGATAAACCGTTGCACCTCGGTATGCGTCGGTAATGCAACGGTTCAGCACGCCCCCGGATAGGGTGGGATGTGGGTTCGAATCCTACCTGACGCAAATGTTTTTGAATATCACTCTTTATTATTGTTCATGCAGTATTTGCTTGAATAGGTTGTTTATAATAACCCGTGGTGGACCACGTGTGTAAAATGAGGTACACGACTGTTCAAAGACCTGTCCCGCTGGGAGAGATCGAACCAGCGCATTGCTTATCACCTCGCATTTGATACACTGCGTCACCTACCAATCCGCAGTCGCACCTTCGTCAAATACTACTATCAAGAATTCCTCGTTGAAAGTATGACAACAATGCACCACCACAACGAGTTAGTAATAGTTAGGCAAGTTGCAAGGGGAAAAGACTGGAGACCCTCCTGAAGATATGTTATGCCAATCTCTGTGTAATGGCCGTAATCACGGTTACGACGCCATTCGATCTGCAGGGGCATAGCCAGACTTTCTGGCAGGAAAGGACACAACTGGCTTCATCCTATCTACTTGTTTGTTTATTTATCTATTTGTTGACCCATTGATGTAGAGTGACGTGCAAAACTTTCGCGTCAGCCGGGACTAGAACCCGCACCTTACTCTTTCCGGGAGCGCGTGCTCTATCCGTTGCACTACTGTCGCCCATTTTGCATGCCACATTTTTCACGCTACATCGCACTTGTCTGTCAGCTTCGAGCCGTCAACGGTTTGGCCCGGGTGAGGTGCGGGTTATTGTCTCGCCTGACGCGAAAGTTTTGCACATTACTCTACATCAATGAGTATACATTTGCAACATCATACCACCGCTAGGGCGGTTAAGTAAAAAGAATTTCATTTGATATCTTTTCTTTATTTATTTATGGAACCGGTCTAAATATTTGACCTGTACTACAGATTTGTTTACAGTGTACATCTCAGTATCTCTAAGATTTGATCCGTCTCTTCGCGTTCATCGCGTCATTAGAATTTACATCTTTGTGAACGCCGCCGAGTACTGATTGAACACATCTTTTTGGAATCTCGTGGATAGCTAGGCTGAGACGATTCGTGGGACGTTTGTTATTCATTGCCAGAAGGTTATGGGAGTGGGGATCAACGCGCGTCTAGCCTTGTTGATGAGCAACAGTGGGCACTCGACCACGAGCCTTTCCAAGCGACGGGGCTTGATAATCTCTCGAGTTACAATATACCAATATGTAGAGTGCTGTGCAAAACGTTTGCGTCAGCCGGGAATCGAACCCAGATCTCACTCTTTCCGGGGGCGTATGCTAACCGTTTCACCACCGTGGCATAAAAGTGTTGTGCAAAACGAGCGTCGGTGGTGCAACGGTTAGCATACGCTCCCGGAAAGAGTGAGATCTGGGTTCGATTCCCGGCTGACGCAAACGTTTTTGCAGAGCACTCCATATATTTGGCATAGTGTAATATCATAACACCGCGAGTGGCGGTCAAATAAAATCATCTCTGAATCTTTCGAGTTTTTTTAATTTCAATTTTCTTGACGATATCGGCATGATTTGGTCTTGTATCTCTCTTATTTATGTACTTAGCTACACTTTTGTCTATATTATCATCGTATATTATTCTTATCTTAATCTTTCTTATCCTTCTATTATTCTATTCTATTCTTCTGTCATTCTATCCTGCTCCACCTTATTTATTCTTATTCTTCTTTTATTCTTATCCTATTATAATAATATCGTGATTATTCTATCGCATGTGCTACTGGTACTCATAAAAGCATAAAGTTTTTCTATACGTAATGAAATATTTCCCGCCATAGTCAACATAGCTATTTACCGGTTCAGTACAACAATAGTTGTCCACGAGAGTGCCCTTTGAAAAATCGAGATCGTCCTAAAAGGACCGATGGCGGCTCGCTTGGAGTAGTGCATTTGTAAGTAATATCTCATTTGTATTAAAGAGCATTTCAGTTTCTATTGTTGTTTTCAGTGCTACAACGACAGACAGTGGTCTTCACGCAGGCGAGAGGCCACAGAAAAATGGCGTGGTCTGAGACACCGTCTCGCGAATGGGCGTTTTGCGCCCAAACGATTCATTGGACAAAAGACGTTTTGAAAGTGCAAGGTAAATTGATGATGGTACAAAAATAATTGTGGTTACACATCTCACATGTTGTGATAAATTCAGTTTTTTGACCTACTGCAATATCAGGCTGAAAATTTTGGCTCTTCTTCGCCGCAAAGTTCATCCATTTCGACACACGATTTTCTTCGAGCATTTTTCTCTGTAAACTTTTTCCCTTACTCTCAGAAGTCGTTCAAAAGCCTAAATCACTTCGATTCCAATTATGCCTTCAATTTATAAGAAGCTTCATTTTGATGCGCTATGGTAGTAGGTATAGGACCAAGTCTTCTCGTAAGTTTTGGCGCTAAATCAATAAATAACAGTTCAGCATGTACATGGATTACTGGCAGTCATTCGATAACTCAATCTCATAAAATTCGCTGCTAAGGCTGCTTTTTGAAAACGTCTATATGGAGCGCTGTTAGAGCAATAAGAAAATCATGTTTGACACTCAAAGTAATCATCTTGTCGCTAATCTTTATAACGGGTTAATTTTCCACTGTAGAACCAAAAGAAATTTTGTAACTAGAGAACGATAGAACAAAATTTTCCTATTTTTCTCATGCAAGGAGCCTTAAAATTTTGCAGAAAGTAGAAGGAATTTTCAAATAGATGGTGCTATACGCAGTGATTTTAACACTTTGAGGAATATGTGGGACGTTTTGTCCTACACCGCACTACGTTATATCTGTTCAGTTACTGTAATGGCGGCGTCGCGCCCCGTGAGGAAGGCGGCGAATCTTGTGAGAAGGCAGACTCCAAACAGCAGGATGGATGCGAGGAGCCGAATTCAGATTGTTCTGAGAGAGTATTTTCATCATGAAATGATGCAATTTCATTGAGAAACTTTCTACAGAGATATTCTCAGCAGGGAGAACACTTGAATCTTCCATATTTCATCTACACTTCTTATGTTTCAACGACAAAACTACATCGCTAAATGATAGCATAGAAATGATAACTATGATAGTGACAATTATACTTTTGATAATGCCAATGATTGCGAAAGTGATAATATTTATCACTGTTTTGAGCAGTTTGTAAGACTGATGAGGACACTTCTACAGTGCTAGACATTGCATTGACCAACAGTCGCACTTGTAGCTGGTAAACTGATTCATACTTTCACTCGGTAATTATTGTGATAATATCACTGACCGTGGTAATGATAATAATAGTAAAAGTGATGGTGGTATTTATAGTGATAACGATAGTGAAAGTGGTAATGATGATGAAGATAATGATTACGGTGATAGTGATAGTGATGATATTGATAATGATAGCATTGAGAATGATGATGGTGATAACGATGATAGTGATTGATAGTGATAATGGAAGTTGTAGTGGTAGTGATGGTGATAGTGATAGTGGCAGCTTCCTGGTAAGTGGTTTCCATACCTAGGATGTACTCTCCCCTGCCTTTCTTGTCACTCTCAATTTTCCCGCAGTCTCATTCACCTATCGAGGCGGGTGGCGTTGAATGAAGGCGCTTGGTGCAACAGAGCGCAGGCACGACGACAATTTTGCACAAAGACGCAGATGCCCCATCTAGCGAGAGCCGCGAAAGCGACGGCGCGCCGTCCCTGCCTATCAATGGTGGTCCTCAAAGTGTTAACTACCGCTTAGAAAATGCGTGTCTCTTAAAAGCAATTTCCTACTTATTTATACATTTTTCCCTTTTCGGAAAAATTTCTAGGATTCAATGTAGAAACCGTAAAGTAGATTTTCTATCATCATCTGATAAATACTGTTTTTTCGTTGTTTCACGTTGCCAACTAAAACCGTGTTTTACGTTGTCAAGTAAAACTAAATAAGGTCGAGCGGTGAACCAAATGCTTCCAGTGCGAAACATGATATTATTTTTGCTCCAACAAAGGTCTTTACAGACCGTTTAAAAAGCCATATTCAGCATCAAATTTGCAACGACGAGTCGAACTATCGATTGACTAACACCAATCCATGTATATCAATAAATTAGGTGTTTGTTCTAGTGCTAAAATTCGTGAAAAGATTTAATATTCTGTTTTATGCCTAATTTTCTCTATTTGCTCGGCTAGATTTTGTGGTGGTTTTTTTACTAAACTATGGGTCATTGTATAACTAAAATTTTGACAATCTTGACGATTCCTGTTGGAGTGTTTTTCGATACCACGCTGTAATTTCTGTATGTTTGATAGTCAATTCTGAGAGATGCGTGTGGTCTTTTACGGGCACTTACACAGTGAAGTAAACGTGTTCCGGCCTTCCAGCCTCGTCGGCCGCATAGTGCTTTTTCTCGGGGATCAGCTTCTAAGATGAGCCACAGACCAACTACTCAAGAACAAGTTATTTTTCGACACTTTTTGAAGCTGTTTTGATTTGTGAAAAGTCTGCAAAGAGCGCTGTAATAGCGAGTAGAAGATTGCATTTTGCATCTCCTTGAGCCGAATGTAATCTTTACATTCGACTGTTTCTCGAAATCTTCCTATCATAATATACTCTGATAACATTCTAAACTTTTCAAGAGGTCTGCTACAGCACGTTCAGAAAGCTAGATGATCTTTGGCCTTTTACTCTCATCAGTACCACGATGCCTTCGTTCGAGCCAATTCCATGCAACAAGAGACCCCATCATAGAGGAGTCGACGGCGGACATGTTACACTACGCGTGTGTCAAGTGGCAAGATTACCCGGCAGTAACTAGCAGTCGCTTTCTCATAACTGGTGAATTTGATATTGCATCAATATTCCTGCGATTGTCAATCTATCAGCAGAATCAATCTACTGTTAGTCACTGTAGGATGGTCTTGTCACTTGACTCACGTGCGATTATCATGTTAGTCGTCGATTTCACATATGTAAAGGTTATATTCCCTTGCAATGGATTGGCTGAAACGAAAGGCCCCGTGCCACTGTTCACGCCGAAAGAACGAAAGGGGTTTTGAAAAAGTTTTGATAGTAATTTTCACATATTCCATCATAATAATATTCCATAAACAAATGCGCACACTTAGTTGAAGAAGTAATTGCGCTTTGCAAATCAACATGCTAAGAATAAGTAAAAACTTCATAACAAACTTTCAAAATTGGCTCCTTTGGACTTGAGACCTTTGCGAAGTTGTTTGCGAAAATTTCCAACGATACTCACATACTTTTCCATCGTGATCTCGTCCCAAACGCTTGTTAAAGCCGTTCTGAGCGCGTCTTCGCTAATGTAGCAAATAGCGGAGGCTTTTCCCTCCAGTCTGGACCACACGTAATATCCCATTGGCTTGAGATGTGGCGAGTCTTACAGCCGAGTATCTTTGCCCCAAAAGCCAGGGAACAGTGCTTGACAAATGTCAATCGTTGAGCGGGCCGAATGCGCAGGAGCTCATTCCTGCTGAAGAGTAAAGTCGTTGGCACCAAAGTTTTCGAGTACTCCAAGACTTAGTACGCACTGCAAAACTTGTTTGGCAGTGCTGATTTAGGCGTTTTAGTTAGTGAGACCAACGGCGTCTCTACGGTGGCACAAATACCGGCCGAGACTATCCGAGAGACTGGAAAGTGACTGCTGCTCATGGTTTTTGCTAATGCAAACACCTGCTGACCTTTCTTGAGAAGTTAGCGTCGATTCTGGAGAGTAGGGTGGTTCGACCGTGATCATCTTTTCATCTATAAAAAGCAGCTTCGGCAAACGAGCGACACCTATCAAACAAGTCATTCGGTGAACCTTTAAAAACCGTTTTCCTTCATCTTCCCGTGTAAAATGTGAACACGAGCGATCTTGTGACTGCACACCTTCACCTTATTTTTGACAACGTTCCAAGCTCTATTCTCGCAAATCTCGAGCTTCTTTATTATTTTGCGCATCGAAGGTCTCTGATAATGGCGACCTTTGTATCCAAAGAACGCCATTTTTATTAATTTACTAGTTTGTGGTCTGAATTAGTGATTTCAAGTGGTAATCTGGCGGTGCAATATCGGGAGAGCAAGGCGGATGATCCTGAAACCTCCCACTTTAGCTCTTTTATGATGTTTTCAGTCGATTTTGCAACATTAGGTCGAGTGCTATTATGTAACAAAATTTTGATGTATGATCAATGCAGCTAAGACGATGATACGGTTGCAGAAGGGGCAGCTAGGAAGTGGATCGTAAGATTCAAAGCTGGAGGGAACAGTCTCAAGAAATCTGGAAGATGGGCTGCATTCAAGCCGACCTCATGGGGCTACACTAATCATGT